CTTAGGAATCTCACAGAGCTTATCAATGGTTTCTGATGGTCTTTAAGTTTCCCTCTCCCAGTCTCAGTGCTCTTCCATACTGTGCATCAAATTTATGCCATAAAAGAATGAGATCCATAATAAGGATGTTTTTAAGAAAGAGAAAAAAGAAAAATGAAAAAATAAGACTGTCAATATATACAATCAGTTGGTACCATTAAATGTCTAACAACTGGCTTGGGGTAGTGGGCATGATTTTCAGTGTCTGCCAAGTTCCATGGTTTAAATATTCCCATCATTGGCCTATTTCAAGCTAACAACATGAGTTGGTTTGCAAAATTCACCAAAAATTTAACAATCGGCTCTCACAAGCCAGTATGCACTGGCTCAGGCACACCATTGGTTGCAATATTTATATGCATAGTACACATGATCCCCAGATTTTGCTCTGCAATACTACCCATCCACATCCTCAAAGGAAAGTACAAAAGGCAAGGAAAAGGCAGGAAAAATCTACACCCTATTCCTATAATGCTTTTAAAACCTCACTGCAGGCCAGGCGCGGTGGCTCACGCCTGTAACTCCAACACTTTAGGAGGCAGAAGTGGGCAGATTGCTTGAGGTCAGGAGTCTGAGACCAGCCTGACCAACATGGTGAAACCCCGTCTCTACTAAAAATACAAAAATCAGCCGGATATTGTGGGGGGCACCTGTAATCCCAGCTGCTCAGGAGGCTGAGGTGTGAGAATCACTTGAACCCGGGAGGCAGAGGTTGCAGTGAGCTGAGATCACACCACTGCACTCCAGCCTGGGCAACAGAGTGAGAGCCTATCTCAAAAAAAAAAAAAAAAAAAAACCTCAATCCACGAGGTAGTCTTCTTTAGAACTGGGCATACGGTCCAGCCCAGAAACTCATTTAGCCTAGACCAGTGATATTCAAACTTTTCTGATCATGTACCCCAATCAGTTTTTTAAAAGGTATTTGGGCATACATCCTCAAAATGTTAATATATTTGTTTATACATTATATTAGAGCTACTATATTAATACCATATATAAGGTATATACACACAAAAATTAAGATAAAAATTAATTCAAATAGAAAAGAAAAATGTTCTGTCTACATCCCAATGGACTGTCTTGCAAATCTCCCTGGGGCTTACACAATCCACTTCAGATATTACTAAGTACAACATGAAAAGTAAAATGAATACTTCCTGGACCTGTTTCCCCTAGGCCTACAACCTTAACTTGTAAGAGCTTGTCACTCCATGAAACATCTTGCTTTTATTATTATTTTCACATCATTCTAGTATATCAACTTTGGAAACAAAAGACATCATTCTATTTATAGCATTCTGTTTTTAGTAGTGGCATTTCAATTTACAAAATATAGTAATTCTCAATCACTGAAAATGTCAAATCCTAGAAAACGTACCATTCCTAAGTGTGATGTTAATATCATCCTCGAACAGTTGTTGGCCAAAGATTCATTTGATGAATCCAATTTTTCTAAAATAGACAATTCTGATGATTCAGACAATTCTAATGTTAGTTCTGTTTAGAAATAACTCCAAGAAGAGTTTTTCTATTTTATTTTCACATTGAAAATCAGTCAGATTTGGTTCAGCCTCAAAGAGCATGTTTATGTAAAGATAAATGAGTGCTGGCAGCGAGCTGTACTTTTTTTCTCTAAACAGGAAATGAGTTAACTGTTTTTTTTCATCCTTTGATCCCTTATTACATAGTTACTTCACATTGTCTATAAGACTCAAAGCTTTGGCTGCAATGATAACCAAATTAAAAGAGGTCCACCCCTACAAATGTATCTACCTTCCTACCCATTGAATTTTCCCTGTTTCCTTCCTTAAGGAAGACAGGGTCCTTTTTCTAGGGTAACTAAGTGCCGTCATCAAAATTACTAGGGAAAAAAACATATTTCTGGCTCTTATCTCAATAAGATTGCCTAAACATATATGTTTATCTCCCTTCTCTTCCAAATTCCATTGAAATGACAAGGAAACAAAATAGTCTAAAACTAAATAAAACCATAACTACACTAGAAAACAAAAGAGGGTGACATTAGCAGATTAGAAGTTAAAAATTCTAGATCCATGGTTCTTAAACTTTGGCATGCATCAAAATCGCCTAGGGGGATGGTTAAAACACAGATTGCAGATCTCTATCCCCACGGTTTCTGATTCAGTAAGTCTAGGGTGGGGCTCGAGATTTTATATGTCTAACAAGTTCCCAGGTAAAGCTGATCCTGCTGGTCAACAGCCACATTAGAAGAACCATCCTAAGTAAGTAGAGGTCACTAAGAAAAACACTTTTTATTAATTCCAATTAGCATCCTCAGAGAGATTCAAGAGAATGGCACAACCTTTTTTTTTTCTTTTTTTAGGAACAGTAAGTGGAAAATAAGAAATAGTTCTGGAAAATTGGAAAAAAATATAATTTCCAAATGAAAAACAAAATCAGAAGAACCTAATAACAACTAAAGTCCAATACAGCAGTGTGAAAAATACTCAAGACATCTTTCAAAACACAGAGCAAAAGACAAAGAGATCAAAATATGACAGAAAAATTAACAAGCATAAAGGTCAGTAGCTACCTAATAGGTTTCTGGAGACAGAACAAACACATCACAAAACATAATCGATGAGCAGAAGAAATTTTTCCTATGCTGAAAAATACTCAAAGCTTGATACTGCAGGGCCAAATGCCACGCAGGTTAAGCCAATGACTAGACGCATGTTTGTGGCACTTTTAAACGTAAAAGACATAAAGAAAACCTTAAAATCTTTGAGAGGGAAAACACTTGTTATTACAAAGGAGTATGAATCAGACTAGCATCAGACATCTCATTAGCATCCTAGAAGAAAATGGAATGTTGTTTTCAAAGTTCAGAGAGAAAATTATTTTGAACCTGGAATTCTATAGTTAACTAGAATCTAGTTAAACTATCAAATAACGAAGATAAAGACACCTTTGGAAATTAAAGAAACAAGCAAATTTAGTTCCTATATGTATTAGTTTCCTACTTCTATAAAATACTATCACAGAAGTCCAAATAGATCTCAAGGAGCTAAAATTAAGGTGTTGGCAGAATTACATACCTTCTGGAAGCTTTAAGGAAAAATCAATTTCTTTGTCTTTTCTGGCTTCTAGAAGCTGGCTACATTCCTTGATTAGTGGTCCCCTTCTATCTTCAAGGCCAGCAACGGTGGATTGAATCCTTCTTTTATCAAGTCTGACCTACCTCCACCTTTCATTTGTAAGGATCGTTAAGTGGACCTAGCCAGATAATCCAGGATAATCTTCCCATCTCAAGATCTTTAATTTTGCTGGTGTGACTAACACCAGCAAAGTTCCTTCTGGCAGGAAAACTAACATATTTACAGGTTCCAGGAATTCGGATGTGGACATTTTTGGCAGGCCATTGTTCTGCCTACCAAACTATATAAGGACTCAAGGACGTCCTTCAGAAAAACAAAAAAAGAATTCAAGAAAGAGGACAAGATGGGATACATGAAAGTAGGTCCCCCATAAAAGGAAGCAAGTTGAAAAAAACATTTTTAAGGAAAAATTTGATCTTGACATTGGAATCTTCTCTTTCTAGAAGCACAACTTTAGAGAAACGTAATTACATTTTCTTCCCTAAAAGTCCTTTTATGCTACCTGTTTCTATGGTGAGTAAAATTTACATAACCAAAATATTAGAAATCTTGTCTATTAGTTTCCAATTTTCAGAAATATACAGCCAAGCATCAGAAGACATGAATAACTATGTCTAGTTCCAGGGTCTGGCAGATTCTGGACTCCATATATTGGTATCATACTTACAGAGGTACCACACATTATTTTTTCATATGTGCTATTTATTAGGAACTGAAGTTACATAGTAAGGGTAGAAAATAAGTTAGTAATATAGCCACAGTTAAACATATTAAATGATTCTTGCCTGTATTCTATAAAATAGGTATGGATTCTTGCCTGTATTCTATAAAATAGGAAGGAGAAATTAAAATCAATTCTGAAATACGTGTGTGCCTTTTCATTAAGTAGCTGATAATTTATGGAGTTGCAAATAAGTTCAATGTTAATTTTTATTTTTTTAATATTTAAAAAGATAACATCTAACAATAATGAGACTATGAAAAATGGATACTCCCATAGACTATAGCTGAATTTTTTTTTTCTTCTGACAAGGGAAAGAATGGAACTGAAATTTTTTACAAGCAAACTTTTAGGAGTAGAATTTAAAGTGGGAATATCTTTTGACCTAGTAGTTTTACTCCTAGGAGTCTATCCTACAAAAATGTCATCACTTAGTATATAAGAATACTATATAAGAACTCCACCATAGCATCATTTAGAGTAGGGAAAAAATGGGAACCAACCTAAATATTTCATCAAATGAGAACTGGTTAAATATATTACCATTGACCATTAATCCAGCAGCCATTAAGAATGAGGCACATCATGGAAAGATGTATGCACATACACATATATGTACACTTTTTTAGATTTTTATATGGAGAAAGGAAGAGCTGAAAGGAGATACATAAAACTATAACCTAAGTTAATTCTCTGGAACTGAAAGGAACGCATAAACTTTCAGTTTTACATTACACATGTATTCCATTTGAATAGTTTTGACAGATATGCACTACTTTTAGAATATCGTTACCCTTAAAAAAAACTTAATTCCTAGCACTTAAAAACTGAACCCAGAATAATGCTTCTGTAAATCATAAAGGCAAAATTGGTTTAGGATATAAAGAACATCAAAGCCTCTTGTGGGATATATAACAAACAATATATGGTCAACACTTAAATACATTATTATTATTAAATGTAACCAGTAGTGATGGCAGCATTGAGCTCCTTAAAGATATGCAACTCACTACAACTACACTATAGCTTCTGACAAGAGTAAATAGAAAACACCAATATGCTCTTTATCATTGCCTTAAAAACATTTTAATAAATTAATATTTCTATTAATAAACACCTACCGAATCATTCGCTGCTAGTGCAAGTGCAAGATTCACTGTAAGAAACAAAAATAGTCATTGAATTTAGTAACTTTCTATTAAAATTCATTTTTATCTTTTAATATTTTCATGTAATTTTTAATAATTTCATGTAATTTTAATATTTTCATGTAATAACCTAAGCATATAAATTTTTAACATATATCCCTTAATTGTAAAGAGCAAGCACATGGAGGAACACACAAAGTAAAAAGAAAAATAAAAAAGTAATTTTCCAATAAATGCAATAATAAATGCATGCCCCAAAACTAACATTTTTAAAAATCCATTTCTGTTACAATTTTGTTCAAATAATCCACTTAGTTTTTTTAAATCATGTTAACAGAATATATAATTCAATTATTTTCAGAAGCATATTTTATAGAAAAATTATCCTTTTATTTTTAAAAATGTACACAATCTCATTGCCTTACATTTATGATTACTATACTCTGTCCCCCAGGTTGGAGTTGGGACCACAGGTGCACACCACCACACCCAGCTAATTTTTTTTTTGTACAGACAGGGTCTTGCCATGTTGCCCAGGCTGGTCTCGAACTCCCCAGCTCAAGCAATCCTCCCACCTCAGCCTCCCAAAGTGCTGGCATTACAAGCATAAGCCACTGCATCCTGCCCCTACTGCCTTTTAAAAATAAATGCTGGTATTACAGGAGTTCTGAGTATCTAATTCATAAATACTCATGTATATGAAAGGTTGGACTACTGTGCACAGAGGGAAGGGAAAAGTGTAAAACGTAAGAGAGTAAAATGTGTTCCCAAACTGCTTATGCCAATGAATCCCAGATGAATCCCATAAAGAAAGAAAGCAGTAGTCCCAAAACCAGCTTTAGCCCAGCAATAGGAATATGCTACATCTGAGAAGAGAATTCCAAAAGTAATACAATTCAAAAACTGATCAACAAATAGGCCCTCATAATGTGAATCACATTTCCCTACAGAACAACGGTATAAACTATGTCAGGGTTATTTTCTTCAAACTAGTTAAGAGCATAAGTTTTTAAGGCAGACCTGGTTCAAATCCCAGCTCTGCCACCTTCTATTGTGTACTATTGAGTAGGTTATTTTACCCATAAGTCTGTTTTCTCTTCTATAAAATGAAAACCATGCCTACTTCATAACTGTGATCCGGATTAAATGAAATATTGCACGTAAAATACTTAGCCTAGGGTACAGACTTGATAAATTCATTTTTATAAGTTATAAAATTCTGAATTTCAGGTACAAGATAGGTTACACATAATCCAACTTTAAGGCAGAAACTTTCAGAGGCTAATTCATTTTAGAGTTAGGTTCTTCCTACATTTAAACAACAGAATCACTGAGCATGCATATTTGTATTAGTCAAATGTCATCATTCTAATCTGAAACAGCTCTAGCATGTATATTCAAATGGGAAGTATTTTGAAGTAGTTTGAGGCAGGAATAAATACATATAAGTAAAAGAAATATATTAATAATACCAATAGAGTTACATAAAAATAATCTATTTTTAAGATTTAGATATGTTCACTGAGCTGTTATGAAAAAGTATGGGCCAGCTGTTCGGGACAGATGGTATAATGTTAACAGAAAAAAGTGAGAAAGGGACATTTACCGAAGCACCCACTAAGTGTTACATGTACACTTTCTCATACATTTTCCTGTTTAAATGCTTTCACATTTCATGGCAACAGATCATCTTCCAACTAAAAATAATAAACAATCTTAAACAAGTGCCAACCTACAGACCCAACAAATTACAAAACCCAAAGAACTTATGGCTACAATCATGAAAACACCTTCCATCCTTATCCAGTTCAAGTAATCACAGAGCACGTAAAAGGATTCAAACCACTCAAAACTGGAAAGTGTACTCCAAATTTTCAAGAAACTGGAATACGTAGGTTCTAGAACCAAAAACTAAGAGCTTCTAAATTTTAAAAGCAACTAGATCAATTGTAAACCTTTAGGAAAGAAAGGAAAAATGTGCAGGATAGCGCATGAATTCATTAAGAACAGATTATTAATCTTTTTTTAACAATATGGTGTCTATCAAATAGTAATGGATTAGGAATCTACCACAAATACAACATTTGGTAAATTTTAACTTTTTCAAAACATCTGACAAATTCTTCCACAATTCCCTTCTGATAAAAATGGGGAAAAAATGAGCTAATAGGCCGGGCGAGGTGGTTCACACCTGTAATCCCAGCACTTTGGGAGGCTGACACGGGCGGATCACGAGGTCAGGAGATCGAGACCATCCTGGGTAACACGGTGAAACTCTGTCTCTACTAAAAACACAAAAAAATTAGCCGGGCATGGTGGTGGGCGCCTGTAGTCCCAGCTACTTGGGAGGCTGAGGCAGGACAATGGAGTGAACCCGGGAGGCGGAGCTTGCAGCGAGCAGAGATTGCGCCACTGCACTCCAGCCTGGGTGACAGAGGGAGACTCCATCTTAAAAAAAAAAAAAAAAAAGGTACTAGATGTTTTAAAAATAACAGCAACCAATTATTGAACACTAGCAAACATTAAGTGGTTAGCTTGTGCAATTTGAATAACCATCTTATGAAAGAAGTTATCATCTCCATTTTACAGTTAAGTGAACTGAAGATTTGCTGCACAATCTGGCAACTTTTCCTGAGTTAAGGGGTAGGAGACCCAGCTAGTACCTAGTTTTGTCTAACTCCAAAATCTAAGCGTCTACCCGCTACCAACTCCTGAAACTAAGGAATCAGATGTTAGGAACTTCACAAGTACATTTTTAAAACACAAAACTATAATTTTAATAGTGTGCACCTACCAGTTGGCATAAGTTCTGAATCAGGAATAGAATTAATATCCTATAATACCTGCTGTAGTAGATTTTCCGACTCCACCCTTTCCAGAAGCCACAACTATAACTTGTTTAACACCTTCTATTGGTTTCTGCTTTGGAAGTCCTCGGGACATGATTTGTGTTCTTCTTTGTTTTAGGGTCTCACTCTCGGCGCCAGATAACTTTAAAAAATAATAATAATAATAAGCCGTTTTCAATAAGCCATCTCCATCATCACACTGTAAAAGTAAAAACAATCTGGGGTTTGCAATTAAGAGGGCTTTCTTTTCTAATTCTGCTCATCTCCACTTTGGAGACATTTACCTACTTCTACTGATAACAATTGTAAAGACATATGGCTTAAATTGAAATTTTTCTACAAGGATACGCTGAACGTTTAAAAATGCAAAAACGCTGCCTCTTTACGGAGATAAGGCTTCCACGTGTTTTGCTTTTCTTTTATCTATTTGTTTAAATAACCCAAAACCAAGAAAGCAATGTAGAATACCACATCTACGTTGTGTTTCAAGTCCCGCCACGCCTCAGCCTGGGTCTGCCTGAAAAGTAGGCACGTCCAGCACATTGGGGGTCTCAGGAACTGAGGCAGCCCTGCAGCCCAGCATCTCTGTCAGCCCGCTTCCCCCTGCCCTGCAGCACCACGGACCTGGCGCCGACAAACCATCTCTCGGCTTCCCCCAAGCCGGGCAGTGGCCCCGCCACCAGCCCGGAGCGACACCCCACCAAAAAGCAGCAGACGCCGCCAAATCCCCATGACTCGGAACGGGGCTGTGAGCCCTGCCCGGAAACTGTCCCGGGTGGCGCGGGGTAATGACGTCACGTAGCAACGCTCGGCTTTCTCTTCCTAGCAACCGGTCTTGGTTTGTTCGCTCAAGAACCCAATCTGCATCATCTTGTTTATAGCCAGCTACAAATATTTTGCAACGTTTTACTAAACGTTTGTGAAGTGCTGTCATATACAACATCTCGTATGATCTTTACAGAAGTCCCGAGGTAGGCAGAAGACTTGCTAGTATACTCTTTATGGACAAGAAAACGGAGAAAGTTTAAAGAGACTTGACCCAGCTTAACAAAAGTAGGAAATGGGGGAACTTGAAAATGACTCCAGGATTTCTTATTAAGCAGTATATGGTCATTTAAATACTACCACTGTTAAGGATTTTATCTTTTTATTTTATTTTTTCCTGTGTGATCTACAGTGAGAGTCTATTTTGCGTTGGTATTCACGGCTTGTGTTGCTGACAGTTCCCTGAAAGAGAGGGCAGGTTGCTTTACTAGACTTGAAAAAGTTTACCTAAATCAGAAAACAAATCTGATGAAGCAAGTTTTGCTCAAGAAGGAACTTGAGTAAGGAAGTGGAATTTATCTTGGTGGAAGAAAGCAAGTATCCCTACATACAATGCAGTTGAGAGAGAAAGCTCAAAAGGTGATGCCCAGACCTAGAAAAAGGATCCTTTGAGGTAAGGGACGGTTTACATTCACATATTCTTCCTAATACTCTCTAGGGTTGATTTTTATTTCTTTCATTTGCTTCTTAGATACGAGATCATTCAGCTTATTTTGCTCTAATCTGATCTTTAATTTCCTTATCTTTAATACAGGCATAATGTATCAACCAGAAAGAACGACTGTGAGGATTAAATGAGATTTACCAGCAAAGTACATTCTATTTAGTAAGCTCTGAAAAGACATTCAGTTCCTTGCTGTTGTCTCCTTCAGTCCATCTCGCAACATTATTGTTTCAGTCAGCTTTCTTTATCTTAGAATTTTAGCTTATTTTTATATCACTTTCTAATTATATTATTTTATGACATGTTTTCTCAAATATTAATTTTTATAAACTGAAGGCCAAAAGCATAGAGATAAGGGGAATAGCTGTCAGAATAATCTATTCACTAAACAAGAAATGATGAATATCTATTTCTTTCCAGATAGCTTTGCAAGTTCTTCCAGACTTAAGACTCATTTATTTAACAAATATTCGTTAAGCAATTACTATGTACCAAGTACTACAATAGATTTAAAGTATTCAGCATGGAGACAGACATAATTCCTCCACTAAAGGACTTTACAATCCAGTGCAAAAGACAGAATAAGTTAACAAAAAAAAAATTGCAGTATAGTATGATAAGTACAGGAGAAAAGCATTGAGTGATACAGGAGAAAGGACAAAGTGATACAAAGACAGGGCACTCAATTCAATCAGGGGAAGCTTCTAAATAAGGTAACATCTAAGCTGAATCCTGAATGTGAATAATGTGTAGAAGTTAGCTGGGAGAATGGCAAGGAGATTGTTGTAAAGAGGTTAGAAATGGACTGCTAAGGCTAGGCATGGTGGCTTATGCCTGTAATTCCAACACTGGGAGGCCGAAGCAAGAGGATTGCTTGAGCCCAGGAGTTCAAGGATGTGATGCAGTGAAGTATGATTGCACCACTGCACTCCAGTGTGGGCAGCAGAGTGGCACCTTGTCAGAAGAAGAAGAAAGAAGGAAGGAGGAAGGAGGAGGAGGAAATAAAAAGGAGAAGAAAGAAGGAAGAAGAAAAGAAGAAGAGAGTAGGAGGAAGAAAGATGAAAGAAGAAAGAAGAGAGAATACAAGAGGAGTAGAAAATGCATTTCTTTTCTGAACTGTTAAGAACTGTAAATGATCTGTGCAACTTAGGACAGAGTGACTGAAAGAGATGAGGATGGAGTGAAGGTTGGTTAGATGGAGGTTGCCTAAATCAAGAAAGGCTGTATATCTTGTAAAGAAATTTGGACTTTATCCTAAGGGAACTATAGAAGCTTTTTTTTTTTTTTTTTTTTTGAGACAGAGTCTTGCTTTGTCGCTCAGGCTGGAGTGCAGTGGTGTGATCTTGGTTCACTGCACACGCCGCCTCCCAGGTTCACACCATTCTTCTGCCTCAGCCTCCTGAGTAGCTGGGACTACAGGCGCCCGCCACCACGCCTGGCTAAATTTTTGTATTTTTAGTAGAGACGGGGTTTCACCATGTTAGCCAGGATAGTCTCCATCTTCTGACCTCGTGATCCGCCCGCCTCGGCCTCCCAAAGTTCTGGAATTACCGGTGTGAGCCACTGTGCCCAGCCCTAATTCTGAACTTTTCATATAAGACTAATATACTCCTACTTGTTTAAGACAATTGTAGAGTTTTCTGCTACTTGCAGCCAAATGTAATCCTAATATAGGCAAGAAATCATGTTTTTATATCACTATATAGGTCTTCCAATCTATTGTCTTTTCCAGAGCTGTCTCTATTCTCCTAAAAGGTCCCAACTTCCAGAATTCAAAAACAAGAAAACAATCTCTTTTCTTTGACATTTTTATTGGGTCAGACATTTTGCTGTGTCAGAAAATGATTCCATATAATTTGTCCAAATGGGGAAGGGCTATGTGAGATACAAGGAATTATAGAGAGAAAATCCTTGACACATATTTAGAAATATATCTCAGCATAGTTACAAATACACAGAAACCCATCCAAATTAGGCTAAGACAGTAAATTTATTGGGTATATGTAAGTATATCTTATGGACCTAAGGATAGGAAGTCCGGTTGAACCTCATTATGAACTGGAACCAGGAACTGAAAAGTTATGAACCAGTACAGCTCTTCTCCCTTTCCTCTGTGGTAACACGATCTCTTATGATCTACTTTCTTCTTCTCTCTTGCATTGGCTTTATCTGTTTCTGTGTGCACATAGTAGAAAACAGTAATTTCAACCTTATTCACTCAAAGACAAACTAAGACTGACTAATATCTGTTACTTTTATTTTCCAAACTCTCTGGAGAAATAATCTGATTGGTCCATTTTTTGGTTGTACATCAGTCTTTAGTCCAATTAGTGACCTTGGGAATGGGGTCAAATGACTTAGCAATTCTTAGGACCAAAGGAAAACACCCTTTTGAAAGGAGGCCATAGATGTGTATATGTGTGTCAGTGTCTTTTGGAGAAGAAACATCTCTACTACTCTCCTAAAATTTTAATCTGGGGAAAGGTAACCAAAGTAATGATTCAGCCATTATTCTCACTTGCTCCTCATGTTTTCTCTCAGGGAATTCATCCAGTTGCTCATGTCATAAACCTATATACAACCAATAATTACCACAATATCTAACAATTACTAACTATGTGACAGGTGTTCTACATGCATTATCTTAAGTTCAACCTCACAACAACCATACAAGTAGGTATTATCTATTTTATTGATAACAAAGTGAAATTTAGAGATGTTAAGTTAAGCCTTCAAGAGAGAGACCTCATGTCTCCTTGTCTCTGATCTTGCCCTGCTGATCCATTTCTTTTTTAACCCAGTAATCATAGTGGTATTTCTGAAACACAAATCTGATAATGTTCACTTGCAGTGAACCGAGATTGCGCCACTGCACTCCAGCCTGGGCGACAGAGTGAGACTCTGTCTCAAAAAGAAAAGAAAAGTTCAGAATTAGATCACACAGGTCCAATACGATGAATCCATAGTGCCATCTGTTCCAAATTAATTCTTTTTGTTCCACCAGCTTGGTATCCTCAGTATCCATTTTCATCTCCTCATAGTCATGAGATGTTTGTTGTACCTTCAGGTATCAAAGCTGTGTTCCATACAGGAAGAGAAGGGAATGACAAAGAGCATTTCCTAATGAGCCTTTGCCTTTTTTATTCAGGAAAGAAAGACACACACACACATCCAATTGGCTAGAACCAGGTCACATGACCATCCTTAGAACCAAGAGAAACTGAGAAATTAAGCATTTAGAGCTCTCTAACCTACAGAGTAGAGGAAAGCAATGGAGAATGTGACTGTAAGTGGGTAGTCAATGAGCCAAGTCAGTATCTGTCCTAGACAGACTATATCAAGTTTCCTGGGATTATGAGGGATGAAGAGAATGCGAAGAAAACTGAGAACTTAAATATCCGTGAGTTCTTGTGCCAGTCATTCGTAGTTGGCTAACCCAATGTGGTAAAGGAAATTTTTCTGGGGAGTTTCTGAGAAAGTTTTCTTTTTCTGATTGAGTAGAACATGGTTGGTGCTACTCCTTTTTCCCACCTTGACCGTGGATGTGACATGGAGATGTGGCAGTCATCTTGTGAACATGAAAAGCACAATAGTGACAACCACAATAACAGAAGCCAAAAGCTGAGGAAGACAAAGAGGAAATAGGGCAGGAAGATTAATTCTTGGCAGTGTAACTAAGCTGCTATACCAGTCCTGGTCTGCATGTCCAGACCTCTGGTTGTGTGAGATATTTAACCCACTGTTGGCTAGGATTTCTGTTCTTTGAGCTACAATAATCTGTGCCTGTTACAGTGAGTAAGAAGGACTCCCATACTCTGAGACTACCTCTCTCCTGTTCACCCATGACTAATCTCTAGTCAGCAGGGGGGACAACAGAACCCCAAATCAGCTTGGGGAATGTGAAAACAACAGAATCAATGTCCCCATTACCAGGTGGAGCTTGGTGCAGTGGCAGAACCACAGAATAAGAATGGTTGAGTGTTATGTTTAGGCAGATAGATAGATCTGAGTGAGCCACAAAGTGACTAAGAGAATGCTGATACTAAAGAGTCCTTAAGGTCAAGAATTAGGGAACACTTGGCAACAACCTGCATGGTTAGTTATTAGCATCTCCATGGAAGATGGTATGCATAGATAAATACCTTGAGGATGAAATTCACCTCAGCATGTGGATATTTGGACACTGCATAGGCTCTCTGTGACTTAGCTACAATCCTGGTGGAATCTGTATTGAACAATATTTTTCCCCACCCTGACAGAAATTTACAAATAAATAAATACATGCTGATCAA